ATACTCAGATGCATGTGATCCTCTTCAGGTAGATTTGATTAGAGGTAATAAGTACTTTGTTACTAGATGATTTCAATTAAAAGTTATGGACATACCTAATCAAGAAGAAAAGTGATGTGATTGAGGTATTCGCCAAGTTCAAAACTATGGTGGAGAGACAAAGTGGCCACATGATCAAGACTTTGAAGACTGATGGTTGTAGAGAATATGTGTCAAAATGCTTATATGCATTAGGTGAAAGATAAGGGATTGTGCATGAGGTGGTGCCACCCTACACTCCACAACAAAATGATCATATTGAAAGGAAGAAAAAAACCATCCTGAATATGGTAAGAAGTATGTTAAAAGGCATGCATTTACAAAATAAGTTATGGGGTGAAGTTGTGTCAACTATAACATATATCTTAAACAAGTGTCCAACAAAGAAGTTAGAAGGAATCACATCCAAAGAATGTTGGTCTGTTGTCAAGCCTAACTTAAGTCATCTGGAAGTGATTGGATCCATAACACACAGGCACATGCCTAATCAGTTGGGAATGAAACTTGATGACAAGTCGAGCCAGATGATCTTGATAGGATATCACTCGACTAATGGATACAAACTATTTGATCCCTTAAACAAGTTGTGATTAATAGAGATATGATCATAGATGAGCTTAAAGAGTGAGATTGGAATGACAATGTCAATAAGGATTCAATGAGAAATCTATGTGATGAAGCAGTTAGTGAAGCTAACAATGGAATTCGACCAGAGGAAGGTGGAGTTCAAGCAGGCACTAGTAGACCTCAAAAGATAATAAATATGCCTGCATGGTTACAGGAATGTGTGATCACATCAGATGATATGGTAAATGATGAAGGTGAGCTGGTACATTATACTTTCTACGCAGATACTCAACCAATCAATGTACTTGAGGTATTGAAGGACTAAAAGTGGATGCAAGCCATGATGGAGAAACTGAAGTCCATAGAAGTAAATAAAACCTAGTCATTAGTCAAATTGCCACAAAGTAAGAAGACAATTGATGTGAAGTCCAAAAGGAGAAGTAACTAGGTACAATGAAAGACTTGTAGCCAAATAATTTATTTAGAGAGAAGGAATCGACTTTGATGAATTTTTTGCACCAGTTTCTAGGATTAAAACAAACAGGTTGGTTGTTCACCTAACAAACACGAAAGACCAATACATATTTCAAATAGATGTGAAATGTGCATTTCTGAATGACCCGTTAGATAAAGAAGTTTATGTAGCACAATCAGTCGATTGCGTAAATCAAGGCAAAAATTTGGAATAAAATGATAAATGTATTTCTACGGGAGAAAGAGTTTATAAAGGGCACAACTAAATATGAAGTATATCTATACCTATATATAAAGGGGATATGAGAAAATGGGATAACCTACTTTTATTCCAAAATTACTCCTTATTAAATTATATACTTACTAGGAAACCACGTCAATAATAAGTGCCAATAGTGGTTACAAATTAATTATTATTAACTTCCTATTCTTATGTGCAATTATTAACTCCACTCTTCTCTGCATACTTTTACATTTACATGTCAAGCATCAATGCTCATACAACAGTAGTAAAATCACAGAAGAAATAATTAACCGATTCACAAATACTATTACATGAAATGCACAAACTAAACACATCCACAAGAATTATTAACAACAAGAGCAACATCTTCTTCAACTGTAAAAATTCATTGCCACTTCCTCCAAAGAAATAACTTCTGCTTAGCCGTTTTCTCTATTTTGGATAGGTTTTTAGTTTTTTCCTTTTTACCTTCTAATAAATTTATTATCGTGTGAACAATAAGTTGTAATTACACTTTTCCTTGGTCCCTATAATCCAAATTGATAAAAAATTCTAATCGATCCATAAAGTAAATCTTTAACTTTATTTGCGCTAAAATTGGTGGGTTTGTTTATTAATTTTAATTTCTTCAAGTCAGTAACAAAATTATGAAGATACTTTCTAATTACTTACTTCCATATTTTTATTTTAACTATTTATTTCTTTTCTGTTACCAGATCCATTTTTAAATGCAATTATTCCATACTTTTTTCTTCTTCTTTTGATTTCAATTTAAATGCAATTATCGATTATATGATGATATAACTATTGAAATTTTTGTTTCTATTATATGTTTAATTTTTCTTATCTATTTTGTTCAATAATTTTCTTCTAAATATTTATCATTGATTTTTACTAATACTCAAAAGAGATAACTATTTTATCATTTTCTTATTTAAATTGAAACGTTATCCTCGTTTTCCAAATTCATGCATATATAAGTTAACAGTTGCTAACACAAGTTGGTAGTTTACACGGTTAGCATACGTCAAAGACAATGATAACCATTAGTGATATGCAAAAAAAAAAAAAATAGTATGATCATTTTTGTAAAACTTTTATCGTATTATCATAATAAATATTTCATATTACATTCTAATTTAAATTAACAAATAAATTATATAAAAGGAGTATTTTATGATTTTTTATGCATACTAAAAAACTTAATAACAAACAAATATAAAAGTGAATGTCACATAATTTATTATACAAATAATTTAAAATACAATCAAAATAAAAAATATCCGTGCCCGTTTAAACACTAGTGTTAGGAGAAACAAAAATGATTTGTTTATATTATGTCTATATGTCAATAACCTGTTGATAATAGATAGCTGGAAGAATGAGATCTGAGATTTTAAAAATGACATGAGCAAGAAATTTGAAATGTTTGACCTGGACTACATTTTATATTTCTTTGGCATCGAATTCTACAAGAATAATAGAAGATTGACGTTGCACTAAAAAAATATATGCAAGTGAAATACTCAAAATATTTGAGATGGAGAAATGTAATGCAACTTCGACACTAGTTGAAACAATATTACACTTGACAAAGGATCTATACGAAGATGAATTCGATCCAACTCAATATAAAAGACTCATTGGATCATTAAGACACCTTTGTCACACAAGACCTGATTTAGCATACAATGTATGTATGGTGAGTAGATTCATGCAAAGGACAAAGTATCTCACCTTGCAGCCACAAAAAGAATACTATGGTATCTCAAATGAACTCTCGACTAGACATTTTGTTTCCTATAGCAAATGCAGGAAAGAAATGCAAACTAGTAGGATATATCGACTCAAGTTGGTGTGGTGATACTAATGATAAAAAATCCATAGTTGGTTATGTGTTTATGCTAGGTGGTGCACCAGTTGCTTGGAGCTTAAGAAAAGAGTCAATTATAGCGTTGTCATCATGTGAGGCTGAGTACATGGCCGCCTCTTATTGTGCATGTCAAGCAACACGGATGGTGAATATGATTAAAAATATTACAGGTGAAAGTCATGAAGCAATGATCATGAAAATCTACAGCATGTTTGCTATCAATTTGGTCAAGAATCCGATAACACATGAAAGAAGCAAACACATAGAGATGAGTTAAGAGCGACTATCAAATAGAAAGCTGAACTTGAACCGGTTTTGTAGCGTTGAGTTAGGCCCAACCACATTTCTTAACATGGTATCAGAGTCTCGTTTAAGATCTGGTGGGCCACCTTCTATGGTTTCCGCTATCGGGTTACCCACCATTTATTTTCACGCTTCAGTTGTCTAGTCCTGAGCGTGAGGGTGTGTGAACCAATTTTGTAGGGTTGAGTTAGACCCAACCAGATTTCTTAACACTTGGAACACTGCAGAACTGATTATCAGATTGCATAGTTTATGATGATGGATGTGCGTGTGGAATTGTTCAATAAATTGAGAACTATGATTAATGTAGATAGTTTAGACACAATAAATTAGGTGGCGTGTTAGATGTGCAATTCTTTGTGTTAAACATGTTTGTAAAGTATAAGATTTGACTGAGTCGAAGTCAAATATATTTTATAGAGTAGTAATTGAATGTGCATGTATTTGACAAAATGTCAAATACAACTTATAGGAGAATTAGGTGCACATATTTGACAGAGAGTCAAATACATTTAGTCGAAGACAATATTCAACGGAGTTGAATAACAACTTGTCGAAGTTAATTAGTTAGTTTGAGATTGCTTGATATGTAAGCAATCTCAATATAAATAGGGAAGTACCCTACATTTGTAACAACACAAATTTTCATTCAATTCAATAGATTCTTCCTCCTTTTTTCAAAACCATAATTTTCTCTATATTCTCTTTTCTCTCTAAAATTATTTCCTCTCTTCAAATTTTCATGCGACAGAAATATCTTGCAATCAAGATGTGATTAAATCACTCAAATAAAAAATAAAAAACGAAAATCTTAAATCAATAAAAAAACAATTCAATCTTGTTTTATAAAGATCATTTCCAACAAATTTATTGTTTCATTGTTGCCACAACAAAAGAGAGACAAGTAATGAGAATTAAGTTCACCAAAAGTTCAAAAGACTGCCTATTATATGCTTATATACTATGGTACTACGGCCGGCTACACAATTACCACATTGGTTGAATATTTCTACTATAAAAAAATATAATTAACATAAATGAAAGAATTAATGAGACGCCTCTTCATGAGCGTTAAACATCGAACATTTCTCACTTACTTTTCACTACTTTCTTACCCACTTAATTTTTACTTAATTTTTATTTCCCACTTGATTCCATAATCCAAACAGAAAGCATAAAGTAAAAGAATTCCAATTGAAACAGAACTCAAGTGGCTGCATTCTGACAACAACACATGACCAACCCAATTTAACAAACCAATAAAACCGACAAAAACCCCTTTAAAAAATAATAAAAAACAAATCCCACTTGCACCATTTGCATAGTACATTTCACAATTCATTAGGACACTGACGACCCAATCAAACACAAATCAAATTACTTACTATATTTAAAAATTAAAAAAACGCCACAATGTTGCTTACTCTCCAACACCAACCGTAATCCTCTCGGAATCGGAATCCCCACTACGACGTCGTTTACTTCCGATCGACCACCACCATGGATATGCCGCCGATCATGCACGATAGTGACCGTTACGACTTCGTTCGTGATATCGGATCCGGGAATTTCGGTGTCGCCAGACTCATGACTGATAAACTCACCAAAGAGCTTGTTGCTGTCAAGTATATCGAACGCGGAGATAAGGTTCAATTTTTTTTGTTACGTTTCCTAATTCCTTAGATTATTCATTTATTACTGATTAATATTGTTATTAAATATATACTAATAATAGAATTAGTTAAATGAGGTTAATCACTATTCTTAATCCGTGTGTAATTAGTTACTTTTGCTAATAATAGAGTCTTTTGAGGAAGTAGCGTATTTGCGAATGAGTATGATCTTTTTGAATTGAAATTTATAGTGCAATTTTCATGCTAGTTTCTTTATAACTTTTGCTGATTGAGTGTGATTCTTATTTTTCTCCTAGATTGATGAAAATGTGAAGAGAGAAATAATCAATCACAGGTCTCTAAGACATCCTAATATTATCAGGTTTAAGGAGGTTAGTATGTTTCAATATTTTTTTATGTTCAAAGAAAGATATTTATATTTACGGAAAATGTTGTATGAAATGTCATTCATTCAGGTCATTTTAACACCTACTCATCTGGCCATTGTAATGGAATATGCATCTGGAGGAGAAATGTTTGAACGAATCAGCAAAGCCGGGCGTTTTACGGAGGATGAGGTCTTTAGACTAATTGTTTAGTTTTCCTATCATTATTGAGATTAATTTGTACATGTAATTTATTTATTTCTCGTTTAACTTGTTAACCATTTTGTATATATGTTGCAGGCCCGCTTTTTCTTTCAACAACTCATATCTGGGGTCAGCTATTGTCATTCAATGGTAATTGAGCCACTCTCCATTCTCCACTATCTGATATATAAAATAAATCGTGTTTAAATTACCTTAGAATGTAGCGTAGGTAGTGCTGTGGTGTACCGATCTTTTCAGTATTATGTATAATTTGTATCCTTATGAAGCAAGTATGTCATCGAGATCTGAAGTTGGAAAACACGTTGTTGGATGGAGACCCAGCACTTCATCTGAAGATTTGTGATTTTGGATACTCCAAAGTAAGGGTTCCTTTGTTTCTCAAGATTTCAATTGTTTGAGTTCTGTGCTTCATATATTTTACTGTGATTTGTATGCGGTTGGCGAGTAATTTTTATCTTACAAATCTAATATATCATGTTATCGGCAGTCTTCGGTGCTTCATTCACAGCCAAAGTCAACTGTGGGAACTCCTGCTTATATTGCTCCAGAAGTACTTCTGAAGCAAGAGTATGATGGAAAGGTTAGAGTATTCAGTTTATGACCTTGCTGTTTTTCTGTATAATATTACTTTCATAATTTGCGTAGAAAAATTCGTGAGCGAGTTCTGTATTAGTAATTTATGGTTGTAAGAATACTTTATCATACTTTTAATATGCAATATCACTAGTTAAGTTCTTACCGATGAACTTATATTCTTGAGTCCCACCCCCGTTTTTGGCGGTGTGGTGAAAATCAGACATTTCTAGTTTTCATGATGTGAGTATGTATATTGAGTATTTTAATTGTTTTCCTTAATGTTTCCATGCATTTTATATCAGATTGCCGATGTCTGGTCATGTGGTGTAACCTTATACGTGATGCTAGTGGGGTCATATCCTTTTGAAGATCCCGATAATCCGAAGGATTTCCGGAAGACAATTCAGGTTGAGCAGATATTAAGCTGTTTGCATGTTTTTGGTTTATGAGCCTCTGATTGTGAGCCCAACTGGTTTTGGTTGGTTCCCTGCAGAGGGTTCTCAGTGTCCAGTATTCTGTGCCAGACTTTGTTCAAATATCTCCTGAATGTCGCGACATTATATCAAGAATCTTTGTTTTCGACCCTGCAGAGGTAATTTCTATTTTTCAAGAACTCACTTCTTAAATATCACTCGACGAACACTATACAGTTCCTGAAGAATTTGTGAAATATATGCGCTAACAATCCACCTGATGTTGAACAATCCAAAAGTAAGGTACTACTGTAATGATTTGGATAGAAGAATGGTCCTTGATAGAACATTATGACCGAATGTTGATCCATGTAACCGAGCCTATTTAGTGGGATAAGACTTAGTTGTTGTTATATGTTAAGGTACTACTATATAACTGTTTCAAATTTTATATTTTTGTATTAAGTAAACTCATTGAGATTCCAAAATTTCGTAGATTCCTAAGTTAAGCAACCTTGAGTATATCTACTGTTTTAACGTATCTTAATGTTATACCTTTTCATTTTCTAGGTTCTGCACTTTTGTTTTATACGGAGCATTGTTTTAATTGAATTGCCGGCATTGCTGCATCCATTACTATATAATAAGGAAACATGATCATAATCGACAGGGAAAATTGTTGATTGCAAATTAAAACCGAAATCTTGATTATATAAGATAACAATTATTAACTTCCATTCTTGCTAGTTTTTTCGTTTATTTGAATCTTACGAATCTAAATATTAATGTGGCAGAGAATCACCATTCCAGAGATAATGAGAAATGAATGGTTTCGAAAGAATCTTCCTGCTGACTTGGTGAATGAAAATATAACGGATAACCAATTTGAAGAACCAGATCAGCCTATGCAGAGTATGGATACGATCATGCAGATAATTTCAGAAGCTACCGTACCAGCAGCTGGGAGCTTTTATATAGACCATTTTATGCCTGATAACCCTGATACGGATGAGGATATGGGTGAAATAGACTCTGACTATGAACTTGATGTAGATAGCAGCGGTGAGATTGTATATGCCATATAATTTAATCATCATAGTGGCCACATATTGAAAAGGAAGCACCTTAATATTGAGCTTTATGGCCTTCTCAGCCTCAAAGCTAAAAAGTATGCTGAGAATATTTCCTGCAGACTGGATGATGCATTGATGCACGAAGTTCGTCATGTTGATTTATATATTGTATGCTTGGAACATCCAATGTCCAAACGATTTATATGTAGCACTTTTGTGAAACAAGCAACATGTTTTCTATTTTTAGGGATTCTCTTTATTTCTCAAAAGAAAGTTCCACTACTCTGATTTAGTGTGTATAATGACATTTTCTTAGAACGTGTAATGGCATAATATGAGCAAGAGAAGATATATACCTTGTGTGGTTTATCTTATTCCTGTCTGCTATCTTTAGTTCTTCGCGAATCTCTGTCGAAGCATCGATGTACCTGTACATTTTTTTTTTTTGCTTCAGTGCCAAGCTAAATGCAGCTAAGATGGATGTGATCACGTTTCTACAATCTTCATTAGTGTAAATGGGGTGTACAGTTCAAAAGTTTTACTTCCTGAACTAAGATAAATGACCCTTCTTTCTGTTTGTGGACTATCCTATTTTCTCTTCAAATGAATGGGAAAAATATCGTTCTAGTTTATTACAGAATAATAGTCATGCTAACTTAACACATGGAGCAATCTTTCACGCCACATTTATGTATATTACATTTACAATACTGTCCCACACAGACTCATGTTTTGTTACTACAGTTTACCTGGACAAGATTATGGTAAAAATAGGAAAACAAACATATCGAGCGACATTGTTTTTACAAGTATCAATATGACTTCAGGTCACTTTATCTTCAGGAAACAACACTCATGAACGTGTTCCATGAAGAAAATTTAAGTTAATATCTACTTTAGGCATCTCTATCTTTAGATTTGGAATGTTGGGAAAATGTCCCCACAGCGCAGCACCTTCCTCGTCACAAATCACAGATATTTTATGCTTTAAATTTCCAAAATTAAGGACAGAATAAGGCAATTCACTCAAGTTTGAGCAACCCTTCATGTAAAACTTCTCAAGCTTTTGCAAGTCACCAATATCGTTCGGTAACTTTGGAAGACTCACACAATCTGAGATGTCGAGACAACGTAGCTCGATAAGGTCTCTAACAGATTCTGACATCTCCACTAAATCAGAGCAGGAACAAAGCCTCAGCACTTCCAAATTTTCCAACATTGCAAGATCTTGAGGCATAGCATTAAGCTTGTGGCAGTTTGTGATACTGAGCTTCTTCAATGTGGTAATGTTACAAAATCCATCCGGCAATTTAATCAAATCATTGCAATAGTCAATGCTCAACTCCACAAGTTTTGGCATAGCATCAGAAATTTGGATAGAACAGCTTTCAAAAGCATTCTTCGTATTGCACATATGAAGGGATAATTTCCGCAGATTCTTCAGTCTGCACAGGCAAGGGACTGAAACCTTCTCCAACCTTATTCTTTTCAGGTTTGATAAAAAACCAAGTAGTTCAAACTTGGTTAATTCAGAACGATGGAAACCATAATTTGTGATTATTAAAACTTTCAGTTTACTCATTTTCTCTGTGAAATCTGGTAATGAGTACTTTTCAGACCGAATATTTAAAACCAGAACCACAGTTTCATCAGGTTGCATGTCACACCAATCCGAAGAAAATGTTTCATCTGTAATAACATCATATTAGAGTAAATCATCATAATCATAGACGACGTTGTATGACACAAATACTTTGTAATAGCGGTGTTAATTTTTTCATTTGTAATTGCACACATGATTTAGAGATAGAAACACACCTGTTGATATAGACAATACACGCGCATCAACTTTTAGCTGTTTCGGTTTTACAAACATTCCGGAGATAAACGAGTACACACGACTAATCATTCCTTGCTGATTCTGTCCTATCCACCAATCAGGACGACTATCTCCATTTAAGTCGACGATCAGTCTTTTTCTCTGTTCAATCGGCTCCCCTTTGCTTTGATGAATTGCTAGTTCTCTGAGAAGATCATGCATCATGACATAGTGGTTATTGTAGTACTTGTCTGTTTCCCTTGCAACTTTCCTTGTAGCTATGACATTAATCAAATTCCTGGTGATTAAATCATGGACAATGGCCATTGCTTGTGTACCATCTTCGTCTAAGCCGTGCAGTTCTGCCCACATATCAATGAGGACGGTAACAGGAATCCTCTGGTCTTCAGGAAAAAGTCCCATATCCATGAAGCACTCCTTCTGATTGATATCCTCCAATATATCCAAGCTTTGTTGAAGGAAACAAAGCAAGTTAGTAGTAGTACTATTAAATTCCAGAATGGATTGACTTTGTAAAAACTCCTTCATATTTTGCCACTTCTCAAAAGGCTGCTGACAAAGTGATCCAGCAATGACCTGAAGCGCCAGCGGCGAACCCTTACAACCTCTCACTATCTGTGCATGGAAATGAAATCAATAAGTAACATCAGAGGCTTAGGTAACTAACTAGTATGCACTTGTATACTAAATTTATACTATCTTGTTTCTAACGTAAAATATAATCACGTCTATTTAGTTGGATTGAAGAGAAAGCACCTCGCGAACAAGATTTTTATCAGGCATGTATGAGCTGTTGTGATTCAATTGCGCGAAGTGATGGAAAAGGGACTCTGCAGGACCATAATCGAGCGGATCCAACTGGCAGGGGGTGCCAAATCTTCTGAATGCAACCCTTGAAGTCACCAAAATCTTATAATCTGACATTTGGAATTTGAACTTCTCAACAAGGCCTTCCGAGTTAGGCCAAACATCATCCAAGACTAACAATATTGGTTTTCTACCAACTTGCCTCAGAAGAAGTCCCAATCGGTTAATCGCTTCTTCATCGGTTTGAAACTCAGGCACACGACATCCACAATGCTCAAATAGTGTCTGTACAATATTCTTCAAGTTGGGATTTCTTGAAACAGTAACAAAAAAGATGTTTCCACCAAACTTGCCTAATCAACACAAAAATAGCTTTCTAAATCAAGGAGAATGGAATACAATGAAAGTGCTTATATTATAAGTCATTTCTATGATAAAAGATAAAATAAAACCAAATTATTTTCATATAAGCTATAGACAATCCTGGAGAGCTTATGACAATAAGCTAAAAACACTTTATGAACATGTTATATAACTTATAAGCTCTTTCAATAAACTCTCTCAAACAGTTTCTCAAGTTCTTATATAAATAAGCTCAAAAAAGTCAACCCAAACATACCCTAAAAGCAATTAAGTAGAATTACTACCTTTGATTTGTGGATGCCAACAAAGCTTCTTAGCAAGAGTGCTTTTACCAGAACCACCCAAACCAGTCAAAACAAGCACAGAAACACCATCTTTAACCAATTCCATCTTCAACTTATTCAAAGGCTCAACCATTCCCAAACACTCAGGCTCATCCGGAGCACCACACAAACCCCTAACTTGATTTCCATCAAACTGGCCCAAATTTTCCTTCCTCATCAAAATCTCCAAAATCCCATTCACCTTAGCCAAAACCTCAATCAAATCCTTTTTATTCTCAACCTGAACATTAACAGACAAGTGTCTCTTAAGCCCTTCATCTTTCTTCTGAAGCTTAGATTGATAACGTGGGAAAGAAAGAAAGTTCCATAGAGTAAGCTTCTTGCTTTTCTGCACAAGCTCGTTACCTTCTATTATGTGTTTCTCTAACCTCTCTATCTCTTCTCTTGGTCGATCCAGTAAATTGTTGTAACCTTTCATTTCTTCGACTAAAGGAGCTAAAGCTTTTAAGGTTTCGATGTTTGATTCGAGTGTGGGAGCGAATTCTCGACCCTTTTTGATTGTGAGAAGAGCGTGTTTCACGGCTTCTCCCATTACAGCTCCAACGGCACCTCCAGTGAGTAGATCCGCCATAGCTATGCTACTCTTGTATCTGGAACAATGAAATTGATGTTATGGTTTTTTTGTTTTGGTTGAATTGAATGTTTTATATAATATTCGAGGGAAAAAAACACATGAACTCAACATAAACTAGTGTTGGTTATTTATAGCAGAACTGTTTCTTTGACTTGTGAGTTCTGCTCTTGTTGCTAGGAAAAACTATGGTTACTATGTTTGGTGGGATAACAATAATATAAGTGAAAAAAAATGTTAATTTTGTGTTAATAATTTAAGATGAGATTAATTATTATATACTTTTTTTTTTTTTTTGTAAAAAGTTTTATACTTTATGTTTTTTTAAATTCTTTTTAACATTATAAAGTCTATGTAAAAAAATTTATTTACAATAAGAATATTTTCAAAAATCATATTTAAAAGTGTAGGCATTATTATTTTAAGAAAATAATTGTTTGAACAAAGAAGTTACTATTTTTTAATAAACTTTTTTACTTTTAAGGTTAGATCTAATATAGACTATGGGGGTACAGTATAGCTGTTGGACACAATATAGCCGTTGAAGCACATAGTCGTTGGGAACATGTCCCCTTTCCCACGCGCTTGACAGTTCACGCGATCAATTGCCCCTCCGAAAGCTATGGAGGCAGTTGGACCAGGTCAAAGATCACGCGCTAGATCTTTCACATGGCAGTCCCTCATTGTCCGAACAGATATTTCGGTCACATGTGGGACCTTGGCCCCGCGCTGGGGGAATCTTATAAATACCCTATCTCTTGAGAGGATCAGGTATTCTAATCATTCTTACTCATACCTAAACACTCGTATTTACTTTCTCTTTTTAGCCAAACACTTACTTTGGCATTGAAGTACCTTACAGGTACAACCCCCTCCTCTCTTACAACCACTGTTGCTGCCCTACATTGAAGGTCAAGACGATTCATTCTGATCACTTCAGATCAGTGGCGCCGTCTGTGGGAACTCCAGCTCCCTAGTCTTTTTGAACCAAGATTCCCCAATCCTTCCAATCAAAATACCAAAGTTACTTCTCTGAACCTTCATCGTCATGGCCTCCCACCATAATGACGTTCAGCAAGATTCCATCGTCGTTATTCTAGGTTGCGGCGAAACCCCCATCCCCGGAGTTGCGACTGGAGAAACTAATCACAGGGACGGGAAATCGGCATCTCCTAACAACGTGAAGCCTCGTGTCCAAAGTTCCGACCATGTATACGAACCTATCACCATCCCACAAGATGTTGACCCTTGCACCACGACCCTCATCGTCGCCCTCAATAAATTTAACTATATGCTCTTCCAACAAGGAGAAAAAATCCACATGCTGGAGAACACCATCGAAGAACGACCTCCCCCGCGGGGTCCCTCAGCCCATCTCGCCGGTCATACTCCCCTCTTCAGAAGCGGCGCCGAGACGAATCTAGAAGCATCTGCCTAGTCAAAGAACGGTCCAAACTGGAGAAGCATGGACACGAGACCATCCGAAGGTGCGATCGTACCCTTCCTCGGAAAACCAAGCACTCCCCAGTATCCAAAAGGACCAGGCCTTCCGGAAAGCCTCACGAAGAGCACCGAAGCCGACATGAACGTTCTCCTCGATGTAGCAGGAGTCGACGACACAATTATTTGTTCAACAGGTCGCCCAACACGAGCGACGAAGACAACATACGTGGTCTCCTATCGCAAGAAATCATGGACACCCGCATTCTGCGCGGGCTGGAGAAACCTCCCCCTCTAGCTCTCTATGATGGTACCACCGACCCTGGTGACCACATAGAAAATATTGAGGTCATGATGCACTACCACAATATCACTAGAGCAATCAAATGCAAGATATTCCCCATCACCCTCAAGAAAGGGGCTATGACTTGGTACAAGAGCCTTCCTCGGGGCTCGATCACGTCATGAAGGAGTCTTGAGGAGCAGTTTTCCCGACACTTTACTACCTCCAAGCGCCACCAAAAATCCGAACCTACGCTTAAGGGTATCATCCAGGGCAGGGACGAACCTCTTCGCGATTACGTCGACAGATTCACTAAGGAAGCGTTCTAAATTCGCACAAACGACCACATGAAAAAAATATCTTCTAGAAAAGGGATTAAGGTCGAAAAGCGACTTCCACAAGGCAGTAGGAATCAACCCTCCTCGGTATCTATCCGAACTTCTTCGCCGGGAACAATCCTATATTCAATACGAAGAAAAGAAAGCCGCGTATAAGGCCAAAGACTCGAGGGACCAAGAAAGTTCCAGAGCGTTGAAGAAAGACGAAGCAGAAACTTCTAGGTGGGACAGAGATAGGCGACGGGACGATCGTCCTCGAGATCACAAAGGTCCTGCAGGTCGATTCACTGAATACACCCTGTTAACCGCTTCCCGAGAGCGTATTCTGTCCGAATGTATCAATGCCGAATTCAAGCAAGGAGGCGTCTGGTTCCCCAAGCCAACAGCTTCGAAGAGCAACATCGACCGAAGCAAATATTGTCGCTTCCACCGCAACCACGACCATGTGATAGAAGACTGCGTCCAATTGAAAGACACCATTGAAATCCTCAACAAAGAGGGCCACCCAAAGTAATATACAAAGAAAGGGTAAGCCCCTCGAGGAGAAACGTCAGAGTATAAGAAAGCAGATACATGGGCTTATGCTTCTAGCCCTCCCCCGCTGGTTGCCATGTCTATCTCCCAGCTAGAGGAATTTTTCATCCCCAACAATATTGAAGAGCCTGCATACTTTTCCGCACACAGCCCCTGGGAGGCCTTCCCCGGCACAATGGTTATTTCCTGTGACGGATACAACGAACTCACAGTAGGATCAGTAAAGAGAAAGTTCAAACAACTGATCGATTGTAGTCCAGGTCGTCTGTCAACACTTGAAAAATTCCAAGGACGATCCCAGCCAATTAGTTTCTACCGTGAAGAGATCCTCGAAGGCTCTCTCAACTCTCACATCCCTCTTCTTATCAGGGCCAGGTTAACCCACACTGGCGTCTGCCGAATCCTTGTCGATCAGGATAGTTCGGTGAACATCGTGTACATCAGCCTATTCTGCGCCCTCAAACTCGATTAGAAGAACCTCACTCCATATGTAGGGTCAAATCTACAAGGATTCAACGAAGCCACGACTAAACCTTGGGGATACATAGAGCTCCAAGTTACATTCGGGGAGGAGTATGCTGCCAAAATGATTAAGACTCAGTTCTTAGTCATAGATTGTTCCTCGTTATACCAATGCATCCTGGGGAGACCGACACTTGCCGAACTAATTGTCGTCCCTTCCACAGTTCATCTTAAGATGAAGTATTATACTGAAAATGGGCATGTCGCCACTCTGCACAGGGACATCGAGGCTGCAAGACGATGCTTCGAAGCGGCTACCAAAGGGCAAAGTTCAATCAGTGCAGCATCACATATCGTCAAACGGCAAGAGACGAAGATCTTCCTAGCGAAGAAAGCCAGCACGAAAAGAAGACAATGCTCTAGGTTCATACTATTTACCTTGACAGCTGGATCCAAGAAGAAGGCGAAGCAGATACTCTAGTCTCAATGGGCAGCTCATCCTCCACGACTGTTATGCGTCTAACACCAGATGGAGAATTCGAGGTGATCACGTTCAGGGACGACCCCAACCGAGGAGTCAGGATTGGTATGTGACTGCCTAATGAAGTGAAATAACAGTTAAAGACTTGCTTGAAGGACAATATTGACTTATTTGCTTGGAGCTCTGCGGAGATGTCCGGTCTTGACCCAGAGATCGCTTGCCATTAGCTCACCATCGACCCATCTGCTCGGGCGGTAGCACAACACCGGCGCAAGCAATTCGGCGAGAAGACTTAAGTGGAAAATAAACTTGTAAAAGACCTCTTAATGCCCAATTTTATCTCGGAAGCCAGGTATACAACCTGGCTGTCCAACACTGTATTAGTCAAAAAGCATAATGGAAATTGGAGAATGTGTATTAATTACACCAATCTTAATCGGGCTTTCCAGAAGGACGCTAATCCTTTTCCTAACATTGATAAGTTAGTCGATAACTCCGACGGTTTCAAACTTTTTTCCTTCATGGACGCCTACTCGGGATACAACCAAATTCCCATGGCGGAAAAGGACAAAAGATGCACCGCTTTCATGACCTCGTCAGACAACTATTACTACAACGTAATGCCCTCCGGTCTGAAAAACGTTGGGGCCACGTACCAGCAAATGATAAACAAAGTCTTCCGATCACAGATGGTAGACATGCTCGAGGTATATATGAACGACATGGTTGTGAAATCCCAAGAGGAATCCGATCATACGCTCCACCTGCAAAAGGTCTTTGACTAGGCCAGGGAGTGTAAAATACGATTCAACCTAGAAAAATGCACCTTCAGCGTACGGGCAGGAAAGCTCCTCGGATTCTACCTCACTGAGAGAGGGATCGAGGCCAAGCCCGACAAATGTCAATCTTTTTCTGAATTCCCCACACCTAAGTCAAAGAAATCCATACAATCCCTCAACGGGATGCTCACCTCGCTATCTCGCTTCGTGGTCAAATCCGCCCAACACACCCTGCCATTCTTCAAGCTCCTTTGGAAAGAGGCAACGTTCGAGTGGATAGAGGAATGTGAGCAGACACTACACCACCTCAAGCAAGCCTTGTCCAAATAACCTGTTTTGTCACGACCAGACAGCGGGGAACCACTTTACCTTTATCTCTCTGTCACTAATGAAGCCATCAATGCTGCCCTCATTCGAGAAATCTCCGACGGGAAAAAGCCAATATACTTTACAAGCAAAGTCTTACAAGGGCCAGAACTCAGATACCAATAGATTGAAAAGATCACATTAGCCTTCATCAACGCTGCGAGAAGATTAAGGCATTACTTCCTGGCTCATACAATAATAGTTTGTACAGACCAACCCATTAGGAATCTACTCGGCCGACCAGATATGCCCGTTAGGATGCTCAAATGGTCCCTGGAACTGTCAGAATGTGATATCCACTATGAAAGCTAGAAATC